GAGCCTGAAAGCGCAGTATCGTCGCCGAGGAGCATCCCGTCGCCGACGATCGCCAGATAAATGTACAGGGAACGGACTCACCGGGAGTATCGAGAGATGAACGTGTTGTTCGTTTTATAGTTAATTTTTTTGCGGATTTTGTTCGGTTGTCAGTTGTGTTACAGTGATGCGACACTCAAGATCGTGGTGAGTGGGTGCGACAGTAAAGACAGAGAGGAGAGATAAGATATTTTGCATTGTATAGTTACATATATATTAACGAAAGCGAACGGTTATTTGTAATTATTGACGTACACGTTATTTAACTAGGTCAAAAATTCGGAATATATTTGCGCGTTTAGTTTTATACGAGAATCTTCCACCTTAGTATGTAAGATAGTACTATAGGATTATAATTGAAGATTTAAGCATGATAAATGATAAAAATCTATCGTGAAAATTATCATTATTCTTTTACCATTGGGGCTTACATGATAATTGGGGTTTCATGCGATAGTGCAATTAAACTTCGTCCACTGCAGTTCGTTTTTACTGCCCCTTTAATTCCTCCTTTTACCATAGAATGGTCTAATAATAGTACGTTTCTAAGAACGCTGCGCTTGTCTTAGCGATGAGATACTGCCGTGTCTCCAGATACGGGCTACATTTACGAATACCATTTTCTAATAAAATTTTGCAACAGCCACAAAGTGAAAATTAATCAGCGCACATTCCTATTTTGTAATGGCAAGCTCTGCTGCGTACGTGGACTGTTGACAATAGAACATACACAAAACCACTAATACTTTAATTGAGAAAGAAATAAAATAACGGATATAACGATGTATTATCCAATTTTTCTTTTTCAATAAAGCGCAAATAAAATACGTGATTGTGTGTTGTGTTATTTTCCACAAAACACGATTTTGATGTTATTTACGAGTCTGATGTGAAGAGCGTACTGCAACAGTAAACAGTCTGGGCTAATCCACATTTTGTAAAAACGGAATAATGTGGATTAGCTCCACAACATACTTTTCGATCACTTTAATTTTAGGATTAATTAATTGATTTACTCCATTTTTTTAAAATTTGGATTAATCTATTGTTGCAGCAAGTCCTTCGATTATTCCATCTATTTTTGTATCATATTAGCTTGGATTATACGCTAGAGATATGTCTAATGCGAGATGTTCCTATCAGATAAGTTTCAAGTCTGTCTAGTTTCGAATTCGTTCTAGGGGACGGATCGAAAGCACGTAGTCTGTCCGATCAGCCGGTGTCGTGTCCGCTGTGCGGCGCGATTCTGCGTCAATCGAGAAATCTCAGGAGACACTTGGAGCTTCTGCACTTCGGTCTGGGCAACAGTAACAAGTCCGGGATACACGCGAGACATCGACGCGCGGCAGCGGTAGCGGCGGTCGCGGCGGCGGACAGAGCCAGCGATTTCGGTCTGTCATCCTTGGCGTGCGTTCGTCCCACTGCCAGGCTGGACTCGCACCTCGCCACGAGATCCTCCGAGGCCTCGGATTTTTCCATAGTGACACCCCTGTCGATTGCCTCGTCCGTCAGTTCCGCTTCGAGCGTCAGTCTTTCAGGTGAACCGCAAGTTACTCGCAAGTTAGTCGGATTTCAGGAATAAATAATCACAAATAAGGAAGAAGACTTTATTTGTTTAAAGCGAATGTTGATGCCTAATAACACTAGTTTAAGATTTTGAGCCTGAACTTGTCATCGAATTTTTCCATTCCAAAAGGTACTTTTTTCAATATGTAGTAATTTTATTGAAATTATTAATTTTTGTTTGTAATGGTTTTTTGCGTCACATATAATTGTTTAAAATTCAACAGTAGTTGCTTAGTATATTTTTGTTCCAATACTCCTAATGTTTCGCAGTTATTATCAAATCCTGGTGCAAACATTCGCTTCGTATATCACTTGTCGCACTTAAATTATTCGGAAAGAAATATTACATTAAAAAATGACACGCTATATCTTAAAAATTAATATGCTTTTTGTTAAAAATTCGATGTGCTGAAATTTTTCTAACGACAAATTCAAACTCAGTGTTCTAAAATATGTTTTTAAAAAACTTGTTTCCTTTTCTTTTACTAAAAGTTATACAAAATCTAAGAACTAGTGTAATATTTTTGCATGAATCTTATAATTTTCAGTTTAAACAAAGTGTACATCGATTATTTGTCGATTTTAAAACAGTCCTAAACTAAAGCTTTTTTTGAATAATTAATTGGCGCACAGTTTGCTTGATTTGAAAATCAAGTAAAATTCACAAAAAATATTAAAAACCAACATCTGCTTTTATTGAATATATCCTTTTGCGCTTACTTGTGTTGAATATTTGCCGATCAATTTTCACTTACTAAAAATATTTTATTTTTATACGTCTATAGACGCTTGTTATACATATACATATAAGCATGTTATTTAATTCGAGTAAATTCCTGAATTCGAATGCAATTATAGAGAAAAAATATTTCCTGAGTAAAGAGAGAAAGCGGGAGGGGGAGGGGAGGGGGGAGGGGGGAGAGGGAGAGGGAGAGGGAGAGAGAGAGGGAGAGGGAGAGGGAGAGAGAGAGGGAGAGGGAGAGGGAGAGAGAGAGGGAGAGGGAGAGGGAGAGAGAGAGGGAGAGGGAGAGGGAGAGAGAGAGGGAGAGGGAGAGGGAGAGAGAGAGGGAGAGGGAGAGGGAGAGGGAGGGAGAGAGAGGGGGGGGGAGTGTTATCTGAATAAGGATTTCCTCTCCGTGTATGAGGTGCTTGAAGAATAATTACTGCTAATGAGCTCATTGGTTGTAAGCCATTGGAGAAATGTTACACAATGGCATTAAAATTTTAATGTTACGCTTCACGTGCATTATACGATGTTCGCGCGATATTGTCGGAGGATTAACGGATGCACCGAATGCGTTATCGTTTTCACTAAAGCGGTTACACCGCGAACATATTCACGTGAATTACAACAAGTCCCTCTTTATGTGAGTATAAATTCTGTACCGCGCGATCATAAGCACTGATAATTATCAATGTTTTGCGAGAACGTGATTGCGCCCGGATTCGCGGTGGGATTTATTATACCATCGCGATTAATCCTTGTAACGTTAAGTTTCATGTTTATTTAAAAACGTAATATTGATTACTTTTATTGAGTTGGAACAAAAGTTCATAATATTACGAATTTCAAAATTCAAACAGCTGTAATTTTGTTAAATATTAATTTAGTTTAAAAGAAAACGGTTTTAATGCTGAAAATATCTACTTTCGAAAAGTCGAATACTATTGATTTTCTGTGAATTTAGTAATCCTTGCAGAATACTTGCCATAGAAAACTACGAGCTGGAAAAAATGAGAAATTTTTTTCTCACTTTGTGAGTCTGTCACATGTCTGCCAAAATCCGAAAATTTTCGATTTTTTAACTGAAAGCTTAAAGTTTTTCCTGCAAAATGTTTTTTTTTTAAATATTTTTTTAATTTCTTGTTATAGAATTATCGCGGATTAAATAAAAGGAGCATTTTAACTTCGATTACTTATGACTTCATTAAAAATCATCGTATCACAATTCAAAAGACATACTTAAAGTTGAAACTTTGCTCTCTCGAATGGTATATAATTGCCAAATTTTTTCTAAAAGCGCGCGCGTGTAGACATAAATAAAATACTAACTTTTGTTTTGACCCCATTTTTACGGAATGAATTTTCATTGTTAGGAATCGATGGCATGCAATCGTGATTTTTATTCTCGAGATACTAATTAATTAATTACAAATTATTATTCGTAAAATATTCGTCTTTTTTTAAAATCAATATTAACGTAATAATATCGATGAACATTCTATAACAGTTTGGAATTCTCTGCCTTTTATCATCTTTTTTCATTAGAACACAAGAGCTTAATTTTACAATTAATTAAAAATTTTAATAATTTCATATACGCTTATTATTTATAAATAATATGCTTATTTTTGTTGCAATCAATTATTATATCAAAAGTACTTCAAAATTAATATTATAAAATTTTAATGATTCAAAAAATATTCAAACTTATTTTTTGGAACATTTTGTTTTTTAATTATATCGGTTGTAGCAAATGAGCGATACGTAGTCTCGAGATCACATTATCTCAACATCAACAAAACAGATTTTTTTCGGTATTCATAGGGAATCTGATAAGTACAAGTTCGAGCCTATTGAGTTCCGGTGATCAAAATGGACATACGTTGCCGGGAGCCACCGGAGCTACGTGCAGCACGTCAATGGTGCCTCCGACTAACGGAATCTACTCCTCGGATGGCGGTCCCAGTATGTTGAGCTGCCTGTTGCCGTCGTTGCCAACTTTACCGTCCTTCTCTACGTCCCACGATGTGTTCCGACACGGGGAAATGTTGCGCGCGGGGATCGCCTACCACGATTCCTCTCGACAGCACGTCAGGCACATGCAGCGCACGGACGTCACCTAATTTCGTGACTAGACGTAGAAAAAATCGAAACCAAGGCTGACAGTATTAACGGAACACTAAATAGACACCACTAAGTGTAGACTTTGCTTATAAAAGTACGGATATTTAACGCGATGTGGTAATTATGGACGGGTACTAAAAATGGCATTAAAAATGCCGCTAAAATGCGGCGTGATAGCGATAAAATAGTGCGACGAGTAGCGACGATGTGTTGTAGGAATTTTTTTACTCGGTGCTATGTATAGATTCAAATATGTACGACCTGTAGATAATAAATCGTTTAGTAATAATAAATATATACATCTATTCTCTACTTCATTGGACATTGATATGTGAACGCAATTTTTTAAAAAAAGGTTTCGTTTATTGAAAATTCTATAAAAGCGAATATAAGAAATAAGATCCATTCGGAATATATCACAAGCTGCAAGTTTTGTCTTAATAATAATTTGCATGAGATTCATTTCGATAAAATATTATAGTCGATTTTCTTATAAAAAAATGATATCATTTCGATCACTTTAAGATATTTAAAACATTTATAGTCCATAAATTTATAGTCGCAAAATTTATAGTCCAATTTTTTGTGCTAACTATAATTGCGATTATTTTTGGAGATTACTCACGCGACGTGGTAATCTTCAAAAAGTATCTCATACTACGTATCGTTTTAATTAATTCCGAATTTGTAATTTCTGAAAATATTTAAGTCACTGAGCCAAGAGAGAAGAGGTACTTTTCCTTTATGAACATCGAACTCAGGAGATCCTCTTCCTGAAGAAAATCCTTTTATCCTGCACGCCGATCATTCGCAACTATCTTTGAGATCATAATCATGAACTTTGAGATCTACAACGATCTTTGAGATCATAATCAAATGATTAGATTCATCTCTTCATGAGGCTTGCTGTTTCCCAGAATAAATGGCCAATTTCTTCTGGAAATTCTTTCGAGGTCCCCTTCTAAGAGCTTCACCAGATCATCGAAATATCTCAAGTCGTGAACATCTTCTAGTAACCTCGTTGTATCACTTGATAAATTGATCGCCTTCTTTTCGTCGCACTGTAAAGTTATAAGATGCATGAATATTGTATAGTAATAGTTTTAACAGAAATGAAATGTTAAGATGCAAGTGACTCTTTTCCTTTCGTACGTTGGATACGTTTTAGCAGATTTCAATCCGTTATTTAATTACGATGTTTAATATCGAAAATTGAGAAGTTGCAACATATGATCTCTTTAAAAATGTTTATTGACGAAGATTTTATTTCGCATTAATTGAAAAGTTTGTCAATAATTTAACGTAAATACAGTTAATGCCAAATAATAAAGACAATCAGTATGATATATCGGATGACCCAGAATTTGCGATTTTAAATACTATAGCAAGAAAGTTCTCACTTCAGTGCGCACTTCAGTCCTCATCACTCAAGTGATCGTCTAAACGTAATCCGTAATTGGCCATATGTCATATTTAAATCCTAATTATCTCCAAAAGTACTACTTAAAATAAAAATTTACAAATAACTTTTTTACTTAATTTTTCGAGAACTTTCGTGTTATATTTTGAGTCATGAATTCTGAGGCAGAATTTCTATAAACTATCTGTACAGTTTTTGTATTTTTTCGCAGTAATATCCTTGTAATTAATTTCCTCGAGAATTTGATAATATATAACTATTTAAGGTGAGACATTTACCTGAAACTTTGTACGTAAACCGCGTATGTCCCCGTGGATCTCTTTATTGGCGAGTTGCAACCGTTCTATTCTATCGCGGAGATGGCGTATCCAATTATTCGGATCGTCGGGAACCGCCGGCGCTTCCACGTCTGTCTCGATGGTCAGAGCCAGTCTGGTTAATTGGTCGTGAGAGGACGTGCTACTGCAAAATCGATCCTCCTCCTCCAAGAGAACAGTTGCTTTCCTGGGATCGCTCCGAAGACCTTCGAGGATAGATACTACTTCATTGATAGCGGTACTTCGATCCTGTAAAATAATTCATTCTATATTTCAGTCTATACGCAAATCGCACAGTTTGATTAAATAATTATCTTTATGCAGGCTCTCTTTCGTTATCCCTTACAGAAATTTAATACTAGAAGTGATTAATTATTTATTTCGAGTATTAAAAGCACTGCTGTCTACCGCTAAATTTCGTGTTACTAAATTTCACTGTTATCGAGTGCTTTCTATGCTCAAAATAAGTAACTTTCCGTGTTAAATCGACCAGGATGAAACTGGATTCCTGTAAGGGACGCGAAAGAACGTACGTTTGCAAAATTCGCGGTGCGCTCTTTCGACGCAATCGCCAGCTCATCGCAGAGACACATCGGCGTGTTTTGCGCGTCGCTCTGGGTCTCCAAGCTCCAATCGTAACTCTGTATACCGGAAGTGTCCTCCAGGGAGGGTGGCCTGGTGGTCGAACCCTTGCAGTCGTCCCAGGTGGAGTTCAGTCTGTTGTAACTCGATCTGCTGCTGTCACCGGTCTTCATACTTCGCACACCGCAGTCTGCGTCGGTCGAAGAATCATTGTTCGACTTCATTGATGCGTTAAAATCATCGGTGGCCCATTGTCGACGCTCGGAAATGGGCGAGGAAATCGCGCATGTCCTCACATTCGTGCTTGGTAAGTTCAGAAGTGTTCTCAGCTGCGTCGTTGTATCTGCGTTCATGATTTTGTATGTAATCTACTAATCGTATTTTCCAAGTTCCGATCAGGCAATTTTGAAAAGGAAATAAAAATATGGAATAAAATATTGATTTTTGTAAGTTAAAAGTCTCGTCAGGCTATAAAAAAAAAGTAGCACAAGGTAGCTGATTAAAATTTACGTTTCTAGGCGTAATTTTTTAATTATTTTATATAATACATTATAGGACCGAATATGTGATAACACAAATTATAGAAATCAAAACTTTAAACGGTTTAGCTGGATCTTGATGCTTGTATGATTCTTGTGTGAATTTATATACTAACGTATGTAGTCCCCAGAAACGCGCGCCGGAATGATTTTTCGGTCTTGAAACGCTAACTCTACTAAACTACCGCAGACATTTACAGATTTACTGATTTTAATATGTCATTCAACATTATTAAGATCGTTTCGAAGATGTGAATAAGCATCAAAATTTGTGATTCACGAGTTAAATTGATTAGCAATTTAATAAATTTTTATGCTTATTCGCATCTTCGAAACAATCTTAATAATGTTGAATGACATATGTAAATACGTAAATGTCTGCGGTAGTTTAGTAGAGTTAACGTTTCAAGACCGAAAAATCATTTCGGCGCGCGTTTCTGGGGACTACATACGTAGTATATAAATTCACACAAGAATCATACAAGCATCAAGATCCAGCTAGACCGTTTAAGGCTTTGATTTTAAATTATTGTCAAAATTATTATGTTCTTTTCTCGTTTTGAGGAATAATTTTGACGAATAGTATATTAACATAAAAAAGGAGTAGGCAAATACTAGAAAATCATTTTTAATTAAAAAAATTCTATATGAGAGATGCTTATTAATTAGGCAAAGCATTATGAGTGTATGACCTCTCCTTTTCTTATAGAATCTTAATAAAATTAATGGCGAATTAATTAAAAAATTGTTGATAAGCTCTTAAGTACTCAATTAAAACGCGGATAAAATAATAGCGTTATTTCATCATGATTATAGATATCGAGAATTTATATCCGTATAATTTTACAATAGTCACGCATTTAGTGGAGAGAATGCCGATTGAGCTCGAGTTGGGGATGATCGTTCAAAGCTCGGAGCTGCTTTCATTAACTTTCTTTAGCCTCCCACAGATTCAATCGAACCCGGATCGAACTTCGTCTGTTGGTGTGCCCGCAACAATGCTCGTGGCAGTTTCGCAGTCTCACGCCACTCGGCATCTTTACGGTGGTAGCACCCAGCCACGATCCCGGCGACGAAGGAAACGAAGTAAATCTGATACGTCAAGCAACTCGATTCCGCGCATTGGTAAACCGCGAAACTTTATTAGGTCAGGTGCCACCGTGGCCGACGAGTTCCACGAGGTGGCTTTGCTCGAAGCCGGTTCTAGGGAAGCGGCGTTTCCTTCCTCGGACTTTGGATCGAACGAAAAGGGAAGGATGGAGACAGCGGAGAGGAAGACCTTAGATTGCGTACCGATTTGCTTGGAATCGATGAGACGACTCAACTGTTTTCGGCAACGGCGGGACTTCCATTCTCTGCTCTCGTTCTCTGTCGTGAATCTCGCCTGGGAGAAGGTAAAGCAGCGAGGGGATGGTATGAGTATCTGGTATTCCTGAGATCTGATCAATCTCTCTGGGGTGTAGCAGATGGGAGTGATGCATTCTTTCTTGACGTTGCGCTCGCTGCTGATTACAATCGTGGGTGGGCTGCTCTGCATGTCGATAGAAATTATTTAATAATCGCATGTCTATCATTCAGGTCTCGATGGGATCGACGAATTATGTTGTTAAGTCTTCGTGACGTTATATCGAGCAATTTTCGAGTCCGATAAATGCAAATGAAAAATTTAAAAGAACTTGAGTTATTAAAGAGCATAGACTTATATACATAAGCTCTGTTGTAGAGGAAAGTCGCCGATACTGACTGGATCTCCTAAAGTGACACCCCCTTATTTCTCAGAAATTAACTATTGCACTCTATTAATACTAATAAAATCATGATCTGTTTAGCTAATTAAAGAAGTACAAACTCATAATTCATATATTTGTGGTTTATTTCTATACCAAATCAGTTAAAAATCAATTCTATGAATCCGAGAAGAAAATTCTTACGGTGTTCTTTTGCGTAATTAAAATAATAGTGACTGTATCATTGATAATATTATGTCATTTTAAATGTTTATAGTTTCATAAATTAGTTTTCTTTACAGAATAGGATATATCTTTATTTGTAGAATAGGAATGTTGGTATTATTGCCTACTATGTCAGTTTTGGAGCCCATTTTGTCAGACGCTCATGTTTTCATAACTTATGAAAAACTTAATTATTGCAAAATTGCAAACAGTATTATAAAAATTGTTTATATCTGATAGAAGACACTTTTTACTTTGTATTTATGTTTTTGAAGATGTATTTTTACCTTTTGTTTAAGAAATATTGTCTAAAAACAAAGTGGTATGTCGGTATCGGTGATCTTCCTCTATAATTGAACTAATATAGGTATATTTAGAACTTAAAAGTGAAAGGAACTTAAGGAGGTTGTAAGGCAAATGCAATATGTTAAGAACTACTTGAAAAAATTACGTACTATTCTAAATTTCATTTAATAATAATACAAAAAAAATAGAAACAATTGACCATCTGGATCAAAAGTTATTTAAATAAGTAGTAATATTTTTTAAATTTGTACTCTAATATAAATATATGAAAATGTATTATAAAATAATGATA